GGGGCACTACTGCAGACAGGCTTTCAGGGCAGGGGTCTTTGAGCCAGTTTCCGTAGCTGGAAGGGGCACCACTGCAGGGAGCTGGGTCAGACCCCCATCCCACCAAAGCACCTCGGGCTGGGGTCTGTGCCCCATGGAAAACCCTGGGAAGCTGTCCTGGCCGGGTGTGTGGCCAGCTGGTTTCCCCATTGTGCCGGATTGAGGTGTGCTCAGGCTGGGAAAAGCCTCAGCTTCTCTAAAATGGTCACCTGCCTTGTGACCCAAGGGTTGCCCCACACCTCAGGGCTCCCCAGAGCTGCCCCTTGGCCAGCCAGGTCTGCTCCCAAATCTGCTGCTTGCTCCCATGGGACCCAGGGGCTGGGACAAGTGGAGACAGTTAATCTGGCCACAGCATCTGTGGGGCAACCTGGAGATGCCAGTGATCTGTGTCCCAGCTGGATGGTCTGGCAGGTAGCAAAAGGCACTCCTTGATGAGCCAGGGGTGGTATAAATTGCATGTTTAGGACCCTCACTCACATTCCAGAGCAAATCTGTGCCCTATGTGGGGCAGAGCAGAGCTGTTGGATAGTTTAAAGCCACCATTAGGGATGTGGGGCTGTGTCCCAGCCTCTGCCTGCTGGCAGCAGGGAGATTGGGGTGCTGGCTGAAACCCCCCCACTCTGGCACGTGTTTCCTCACTGCCTTATCAATGAGCTGCCTGCCCAGTACAGGTGATGGGGGGTGGGCTCGGGGCAGTTGCTCTTTGCTGCATTTTCATACCTGTTGCTCAGGAAGTGGAACAGAGTCCTTGAGCGCTCCTGTGTCATGTGGAGTGTCCACTGGAGGGGCTGTTCCAAGGGCACCTGTGCTCCCCCATCCCTCCAGGTCACTTGGCAAGCTGGTACCTGCAAAAACTAGTTTTACACCCGAGTGCCTGACACTCGGCGGGCAGGTTTGCTCGCGTGCTTCTAGAGAGGTTTCCTGTCAAACCGTACTCGATTTTAACACTTTTTGAGCAGCACGTGCTGTGTCTGTGGACTCGCTGAAGGTTGTTCTGGTCCCTGCAGGTTGAGACTGAAGGAGGCCACCTCCCCAAGCAGCCATGGCCCCCACACTTGCCACGGCCCACCGCCGGCGCTGGTGGATGGCATTCACAGCCATCATCGAGAACCTGCTCTTCTCTGCTGTCCTGCTGGGCTGGGGGTCCCTCCTCATCATGCTGAAGGCAGAAGGGTTTTATTCCTACCTGTGCTATGGGCAAGGTAAGGATGCTCTGGGGGCTCGTGTGAATAAGTTGCTGCTGGGCTTTGCTGGTGTGATTTCCCTGGTTTAGGATGGTGTGGAACTGGCTGCAGCAGGGCTGAGCTCAGTGTCAGTGCTGGGATAGAAGGAAGGGATGTCTGCTCTTTTCCAAAACCAGTGGCATTCTTGTGATGGTGCAATGTGCCTGTAGTTGCTCTTGCTCTGCAGAGGGATTGGAAAAAGAAGCTTTAATGATTAAGTAAAGCTTTTCTGGATGGCCTTTTCCACTTGACCGTGAGTTCTTCCTCTGCAGGGAAAGGCTGGATGGGTTCTGGAGGATGATGATTGGTGGGCAGGGTGTCCTGAGTTCATAGGATGAACTATATAGGCACTTTGTTCTTAGTGGTAGGGAGGAAAGTAGTGTGAGTGACGATAAGATTAGAGGAGTCCAGTGCTGCTGTTAAGAATAATTTGCAGAAGTAAATGCTGCTGATGTTCTGTTCCTCTTCAAGCACCCAGGATGTGCTCAAACCAGGCTGTTGTCTCTGTGAGGGCTTGAGATTCACTCTCTGCCCCAGGCAGAGGAAGTATCTGTCCATGTTGCAGACACAACCTGGAAGGGAAGAGGCAATCGTGGTGTGGGAAGGATAACCCTGGGAAAAACAACCTGGAGGTAGATAGATATCCCCAGCCTGGGCACGGGGAGAACTGTGGTCTGGGGAATCCCACAGTGTGGTAGGGTGGACAGTGAGGTTAAAAGGAGCTTGAAGGTAAAGGTGTGGTGTGGATTTGGAAGCTGCTGTACTGACTGAAGTTTTGCATGTGTTCAGAGAAGGGAAGAGCAGAGTGAAGAGAGGCTGGAGGTGTTTGGGTTCCGTCCAGAGATGTGTGGTGGTGGATTAGACTGGATCAGCCCCTTTGGGGCTGGAGGAGGAAG